AAGTGGTAGAGCACTAGCCTTGAGCTGAAGAGCTGAGGGACAGCACCCAGGCCCAGAGTTCAGGCCCCACGACCAGACCCAAAAAAATAAATAATACCAAGTTGGGGGCTGGGAAGGTGGCTCAGTAGTAGAGCGCTTGCCTTGCATGCCTGAGGCCCTGGGTTCGATTCCTCAGCACCACATAAGCAAAATAATAATAATAATACCAAGTTGGGTGCAAGTGGCTCATGCCTGTAATACTAGCTACTCAGGAGGCTGAGATGTGAGATGTGAGGAATGCGGTTCAAAGCCAGCCCGAGAAGTAAAGTCTAATTAACCACCAGAAAACAGGAAATAGCGCTGTGGCTCAAGTGGTAGAGCATTCACCTTGAGCTGAAAAGCTCAGCGCCAACATCCAGGCCTTGAGTTCAAGCCCCATGGCTACCTCCACCACCACCACCACCACCACCAAATAACATCGGAACTTTTCAAAGCAGAATACAATGCCTGATTTCTAGTAGTTGCTTATTAAATGCTCTCTAAGTGAATTAAGCCAAAGTAAAACTTGTGGCCTCCTCTAATCAATTCTTGTTCTGGGCCATCTGGATGGATCTTTCTCAGGTCCACTTGGATATACACACATATATGTATATGTGTATATAAATATATATGTATTTTTTTGGTAGGATTGGGGTTTAAATTTGGCCTTACTAAGAAGGTGCTCTGCCACTTGAGCCACTCCACTAGTCCCTTTTAGTTGATTACTTTTGAGATAGGGTCTCACTTTTATGCCTGGGCCATATGGACTACAATTCTATTTATGCTTTCCTTTGTCACAGGGATGACCAAAGTGTACCTCTGTACCTAGCCACTGGGTAATATGGAATCTCCAGAACTTTTATGACTAGGCTGACTTCAAACTGTGATCCTCCATTCTCCGCCACCCAAGTACCTAGGATTATAGGCTTGAGCCACCATGACCAGCCAGGAATATTTTCAATAGGTCTGAGAGAATCAGTTCTCTCTCTGGGCCCCTTCAAGGCTCCTCCCACAAGGTCCTGTTGTAATTCACATGGGCTAACTGTTTTTCCTGCCATTGGTTACTATGCCCTGATGGCTTAATCACACCTGACATGTTGCCTTCCGACACACAGGCAACTGTGACTAAAAACAAAAATCCCTGAATTTTCAAGTCACTATTTTAAAAGGTTTTGGGTCATTACAGTTAATTCCTGAACTTGAAAAACACATTTAAGGGCTGGGAAGGTGGCTCAGTGGTAGAGCGCGTGCCTTGCATGCATGAGGCCCTGGGTTCAATTCCTCAGCACCACATAAGCAAAAAGAAAAAAAAGCCGGAAGTGGCGCTGTGGCTCATATGGTAGAGTGCTAGCCCTGAGCTGAAGAGCTGAGGGACAGCGCCCAGGCCCAGAGTTCAGGCCCCATGACTGGACCCCCCCAAAAAAAAGAAAACACATTTAAAAAAATAAATTTAACCCACCACAGAACCTGAGCACATTCTGAAAAGGTACCCAACTGTCCCTGAACCAAAGCTGCAACCTCACCTAGAAATCTGTATCACTTTGCACACTTGGGTGACCCTTATTCTGCTTACTGTTGAATGAATGACTAAAGCTTTCCTAGAACACTATTGGGAAGTAGGAGTGCAATATGGTGGATTTTATGGTATCCTTCCTCCCAGAGGGTGGCGGCATTTCCTTATTTTAAGTTCATTGTCTCACATTTTGGTTAGTTTCCAATCTGGTCATTCTTTCTTTCATTTTGCCTATGCTGGGAATCAAATACAAAACCAAACCATGCTAGGCAAGCACTCAAATACCAAGCCCCTTCATATCTGAAAGCTTTTAGGATTAGGGAAGTGGACTATATACAGTTGCTTCACCTATCCCACTAGGTTTCCTTTTAAGAAGTCAAATTTAGGGCTGGGAAGGTAGCTCAGTGGTAGAGTGGTTTGCCTTGCATGCATGAGGCCCTGGGTTCGATTCCTCAGCACAATATAAGCAGAAAAAGCTAGAAATGCCGCTGTGGCTCAAGTGGTAGAGTGCTAGCCTTGAGCTCAAGAGCTGAGAGACAGCGTCCAGGCCTGGAGTTCAACCAAAAAAAAAAAAATTATATTCAAAAAAAGTCAAATTCAAAGTTGGGGAGCTGGTGTCTCACACCTGTAATCCTAGCTGCTCAGCAGACTGACATGATTCCAAGACAGCCCAGATAGGAAAGTCCATGAGATGCTTATCTCCAATTAACCAGCAAAAAGTGGAGTTGCTGCTCAAGTGGTAGAGTGCCAGCCTTGAGTAGAAAAAGCTGAGGACAGTGCCCAGGCCCTGAGTTCAAGCCCCAGTACTGGAACACACAAAAAAAGTTAAATTCACACAATACACACAAACAAGTAATCCATAGATGAGCAATCCTTGCTCTTATGCAAAGTAAAAGAAGTATGATTTCAAGGACAATGGCCTTCTCCAAATATAAAGTTGCAACTCCAGGTCTATGTTTGAAGTTACATGTTAATAATTCCACTCAGCTCTTACTTAATATGAAGAAGCTCTTGGAGAAAGTATTTTGGGTCTCTAAGTATTATTTACATCTTACATTGTAACAACTTCAGATCCCTCTTTCCTTCCCTCTTTGTATTTCCCTGATTTGGGGCTAGGGAGTATCTAGAACCAGGCAGCACTGGAATTTGAACTCAATTACACAGTTGGTGCTCTACCACTGGAGCCATGCTTCCCACCCTGCTTTTCTTTTTGCCCATCTTGGTGCCTGAACTTAGGGCCTGAGCACTGTCCCCGAGATTTTAGACTCAAGGCTAGTACATGACCATTTGGGCCACAGCTCCATTTTTGGCTTTTTGGTGGTTAATTGGAGATAAGAATCTCATGGACTTTCCTTGCCTGGCTGGCTTCAAATTGTGATCCTCAGATCTCAGTCTCTTGAGTAGCTAGATTTCAGGCATGAGCCACTGGTGCCTGGCTTCCACCCTGCTTTTAGCTGTTTTTTGTTTGTTTGTTTTTAACAAAATTACAGGCATTTCTTCCTGGGCTGGCTTTGAACTTCAATTTCAGCCCCTAAGTACTTAGAAAGTAGAAAAATTTCCTAAGATACTCCTATATCTGTCTTTCTAGAATGACCTAAGAAGTTTTCCTCTAAATCTCAGACAGTTAAGGGACAATTCATAATACCACCTTATTAACTGATCTTACTGGCTTTAAAAGCCCTCTCATAATGCACAGACTTCATACAGTACTCAGCAGAAACCTCCATTCTAATTCTCTCCACTTTAGCTGTTCTCATCAGCTAAGCCAGTCCTAGAGAAAACTCTACAGATATGTATGTGTATTCATTCATCCTCTCTAATCTTTGACATTTCTATACCCTGATCTTTTCTTGTGTCCTGACCACTTTTAGGGGTATGGAAGGGAGAGTCAGTCAAATATTGTGAGACCAAAAACCAGAATTTGTCAATTATCCCCCACAACAAAACATTTACCTTCATGTTTTGTTTCTTTTCTGACCATAAAAGAGAAAAACATTTTGTCTATTTATGTGGACATCTTTAGGCTACCTAGTGTACAACTCTGCGTATGTATTGAAGAAGGCAAATGCTAATCCTGAGTACAACTCTCTCCTTGTCTGAATTTGATAAACAGCCTGAACTGTGAGAGAAGCACAATAAATAACATAGTATTATCCAAAAAGGGAAGAAAGAGACACCACAATGTAGGGAGAACATTTAAACAGAATTGCCTTTAGTGGCCCTTCCCCAAAAGACAGTGAGAATATTCTGGTTTGTCTCTGATCTCTGACTTTCCTAAATGAAATGTGTGGGAGAAAATATATTTCTTCACACTTCTGTACAACATAAATATTTAAACATATGTATGCATTATTTTGTAATTTAAAATTTAGTAATACATTGGTTTAGGAGGGAAAGAGATGAAAAGTGTCCAAAGGGAAAATCTGAACGGTTCCAATCTGTGGAAGACTAAGAAGTGAACTGAACATTAAAAGTACAGGATAGAACTGAAACTTCTTTGTACAACTACTTAAAATAAAATAAAATATATGATAGACAGAGAATCTACTTTTCTGGCTTAGTAATCCATTAGGTTCATCTTTTTCTATACTCCTCACTTCTCCCAATACCTCAAGGTTTGAATCAGTTTTCTAATCACACAGACACCTGGGCTCCAGAAAAAGTAGATAAAGCACAAGGGGTGATGCCAACCTTCCGGAATGGAATTTCTCACTCGTCCTCAAATCCCTTCCTCAGTATATCACCAGGACTGATGAACTCCATCACCTGTCTAGGAAATAGCCAAGTCTAAGTCTCATAGTAGTTTCACCAACTAAGGTTGGAAAATTTCTAGCTGACTTGTGATCTCTAAACCCCTTTACATTCAGACAATGAAATAATTCTCTAATTATAGGAAAACAAGATCTGAGTAGTCACTATAGATCACATTATTAAGGTGGGGCAAGGGAAAGAAGCAGAAAAACATCCTTCATATTGAACTTCTTAGCTCTTTCAGCGAACATATAAACAGTAAGAAAAAAATTTTTTAAAGAAAAAAAACCATTGCAGTCTAAACCATGAGGCCATGAGAAAGTATAGAAGATGAGTTTGGAGCGGCCAATAATTAGGGAACAAGAAAAAAAATTACTTTTGTCGTCACCTTCTTATTCTGGGACGACCAAAAAACAAAAAAACCACTTCAAGTCACCACATCTAAATACTAAAGGAACAAAAGAGTGAATACTCCTAAACCCACAGCATCCAGAGACCCTGAAGCTTTCCCAGAAGCTCCCACAACTGAGAGAAGGCCATGCTTTCTGCTTCTAGTTCTTCAAGACTACCTTGGTTGGTCTTTTACATCAGGAATGTTCAAATCTCTCTCGACTCCTCACCATGGCACCCTAGTTTTCTAACAGCCACTGTCCCAGGAAATAACGCCTCTGATCAGGTAATCACCCTTCTCAGGCCCTTCCCAAGAGACAGCTCTCAAGAGACCCCCCCCCTCTTCCCCCAGCCTCAAGTTACCTTCGGGGCAGGGAGTCAGGGTTGACCCCCTCCTCCCCTGGGGCAAATGGGCTTACCTCACCCGTCCCTTTCCCCAGCTCCTCCCTCTCCAGTGCCTTTTAAAGAGTAATGAGGCCCGTCCTGCCCCACTCACAGGTTCAGGGCCTCCAGCACCCACCGCCTCCCCAACTTCAGGCTCACAGCCCTCCAGATCCCCCTCCTCAGCGCCCCCAGTAGGCCTGCAGGGACCCGGCCCCCTTCTCCCCTCTCCAATGGGCCGCCCTAACCCCCTCGCATAGGCCCAGACCCGCCTCTGGTCTCGGGTCAGGCTGTTCCCATCTCCCAGCACCTCCGCCTCTGCCCTTGTGGGCTCCATCAGCCTCAGTACCTGGGGCTCCGTCTCCTCCGTCGGGCCCAAGCCTGTGTCGAACAGACAAACAGCTGCAGTTCAACCAAACCCTCTTGCCCCTCCTCCTCCACCTCCACCACCACCACCTCCTCCTCCTCCTCCTTCTCCTCCTCCTCCTTCTCCGGCTCGCCTTGGGGCAGGGAAACTTCAACCAATAGCCTACCCCCGAGGGCGGGTTTTATGTGCACTCATCTGCCAATCCTGTGGGGAAAGGCGGGTCTCTTGAGGCGCTTCCACCAACCAGTATGAGACAGGGACCCGACAGGCGGGGCCTCAAACCAATAAATAGAGAGAAATCTTCAAGATGGACGAGGTGAGGAGCCAGTAAAGACCGAACTTCCAGAGACAGGGGGTGGTGCAGCATCGACAGGCAGATGTATTAGCCAACAAGAGCTCGACACTTGATGACCCCGCCTTTTGACTCATAAACATCTAATCAGGTGAGTGGTGGAGGCGGGTCAAAGCCAAATTTTAGCCAGTACTGCAAGAATTCCATACTTGAGTGACAGACAAGGGTTAGGAAGGCCACCACTGACCTTCGCCCCTCCCCCTGGGTTTGGCGGGGATTGCCCTAATGCCCTGCCCTCTGTGACAGATTCGCGGAATGCTCCTTTTCTAAGGACCTAGAGCCTGTGAATTTAAGATAGCACTCACATCAGGGCTTTCCTCTTTTACAGAGGGCCATTTTTTAGGGTGGCCTTCGGGAAATCTGAGACATTTTTTTGGTGGAGACAAAAGCCAACTACAAAAGTGGTAGCTTGAAGACACTTTAACCCCTTCAGAGTATTTTTAAAAAAATAATATATAGACTATGGACCTCTTGAATCATATTGTAAATGTAAATTGAAGAATCTTAAGTAGGTGGCTGAGATCTGAGGATCACGGTTCTCAGCAAAGTGCCTGAGATTCTTACCTCCCAATTAACCAGCAAAAAATTGGAAGTGGCAATAGAAAAGCTCAGGGACAATGATCAGGCCCTGAGTTCAAGTCCTACGACTGACAAAGGAAAAAAAAAAGAATCTTTACAAAACTTTGCTGTTGCCGGGCACCGGTGGCTCATGCCGGTAATCCTAGCTACTCAGGAGCCTGATATCTGAGGATTGCTGTTGAAAGCCAGCCCCAAAGCCAACCTGGGCAATAAAGTCCGTGAGACTCTTATCTCCAATAAAACACTCAGAAAACTGAAAGTGGTGCTGTAGCTCAAGTGGTAGAGTGCTAGCCTTGAGCTGAAGAGCTGAGGGACAGTGCCCAGGCCCAGAGTTCAAGCCCCACGACCGACAAAAACAACAACAAAACTTTGCTGTTAATAAAATCAGCTCTGGGCATTGTGAGACATGCCTGTCTCCCTCAGGGAGACTGAGGCAGAGTTCCAGAACAAACCTACCAAGGTGAAATAGAGACCCTCTCAAAATATAAAATAAGCTGGGCACCAGTGGCTCTCACCTATATCCTAGCTACTCAGGAGGCTGAGATCTGAGGATCACAGTTCAAAGCCAGCCTTGGTAGGCAAATCCATGAGACTCTTATCTCCAATTAACTACCAGAAAACTGGAAGTGGCACTGTGGCTCAAGTGGTAGAGCACTAGCCTTGAGCTGAGGGACAGTGCCCAGGCCCCTAGAGTTCAAGCTCTCCAACTGACAAAAAATAAAAAAAATTACACACACACACACACACACACACACACACACACACACACAGGCACTGCCAGTCGCTGGTGGCTCTGCTCTTATAATTCTAGCTACTACGGAGGCTGAGACCTGAGGAACAGGGAGATAGACGCCAGCAAGGCAGAAAAGTCTGTATTTCCAATTAATCAGCAAAAAGCTGAAAGTGAAGGTGTAGTTTAAGTGATGAGTGCCAGGCCCTACTACAAAATCAAAAAGAAAAACTTGGGAGCTCACAGGAAAAGGCAAATGTTGAGAATTCCTGCCCCCAACCATATTGGCTGGAACTACAATTCTGCAAAGTGTATGTTGTATGTAGTTACTGGGATGGGAGGAGGGGAGGGTTTGCTGCTGTGTAGTGAAGTAGGAAATACAGAGGCTTCAGTTTCCCCAGCTGTAAAATTGGGACAACACACATAGTCTATTCACCTTGGCACCATCCCAACTGCAGCTGCATGAGGCCAAAATGGGTTGGGAGTGCAGGTGGCCTTGCAAGACATAGATTAGGTAGGAAAAGGGGGGATCTGAATTTAATTATCACATGAACATGTCAAGATTTTTCCCACACCATTCTTCCAGTAAATAAATAAGGATGAAAAAGATGAACACTAAAACTAAGAACAATTTCTTTTAATGAATTACAAACTAAATTACAAATAATGTTAACAGAACACTGGAGGACAAAGGGGAGAAGAACATCATAAAAAGAAAAAAAAACTTAAAAAATTTTGAATTACAAAACCCCCAAGGTGCTCATGGCAGCAAATTTAGCCACTCTGACAAAAAAAAAAAAAACTAGAACCTGAAATATAAATATAATTGTTCATCCTTCTTTTAAAGAAATATATTTTCCCAATGCACTACTCATTCACAGCCCTAAAAAAAGTGTCAGTATTCCTAAAAGGATGTCTAAACCCTTAACTTGCACTTCTATACGAGTTAGAGGTGGCTTTCAAAGGGAAATAGGGATCCCTGGCAGTTGAAGAACTAAAATTTCTAAAAGGAAATGAAAAGTCCAACATTTTTTCACATGCTTCATAAGGCTGCGCTAAAGCAACAGATGAGAGTAAAGAATAATCCCTGTCCCTTGGGCCTCCCAATTCCTTACCCCCATAGTAGGGACAAAGAGGCTTCAGAGATCATCTTTTTCTCTCCCCTCTCCTCAGATGTGTGTCTTGAGTCTCAGCCTGTTAGGCTAGGTGAAACATTAAAACTAGGGTAAAAACTGATTGAATCTATTCTTTTTTCTAACCTAATTCTTTAAAAACAGACCCCCTTCAAATGGTTTGGTTTTGTTTGGTTCTCAAATGTTTCAACTTAGCCCCCTGCTATCAGTTGGCCTTTACTAAAAACAAACACAAAAACAAAACAGCAGCAGGAGGTCTGGGTTCCCTGTTATTGCAAACACAGGCAAATAATAACTATGGGATACTCAGAGACGGGGAATAGCAAACCTGATATGGAGGGGGAGAACAGTTTGGTTTGGTTTTGGATACCAGCCCTCCTTAGCAATGACTAAGAGGGGTGAGAGAAGGTGGTAGAGGCTGTGTTAAGTGCATCTAATACTGAAACTTCCTTTCATTTTAACCTGTTCCTCCCTTCTATCTCACAATCTCCCAAGTTGGAAAGGTGAGCAGTGCCTACAACAGCCATAAAAGATCAGGGGCCCACCTGAGTCCAAATAGCCCAGAGCCCTGAGTCAGGTGCAGCCCACACTAGATGGACAGATGAGATGAGGGCTTTGGGAAAGGCATCAGAGGCGAAGGTGAGGTACTGGCTTTGTCACATCCTGGAAGAAAGGGTGAGCCAGAGCTGCTTTTGCTGAAATCCTCTTGTTGGGATCATAATGAAGCATTTGCTGGAGGGAGAAATATATATACTGATTTTAGTGATGGAACAGAGGGGGAAAAAATGGGGCTAGGAAGATGGCTTAGTGGCAGAGTGTTTGCCTAACATGCATGAATCCCTGGGTGCGATTCCTCAGTATCACATAAACAGAAAAGGCTGAAGTGGTAGAACACTAGCCTTGAACAAGAGAAGCTAAGGGACAGTGCCAGGCTCTGAGTTCAAGCCCCAGGCTTGGGGAAAAAAAAAAAGAGCTGGCAGGTAGTCTCAGGAATCAGGAAAACTGATTACCCAGTTCTCATTTCTCTCCTTCCATATCTAAACCAGCATGCTGAACAGAGATTTCAGGGTCTCAGGAGTTTTGTTTTTACCAGTCCTAGGGCTTGAAATCAGGGCCCTGGCACTGTCCCAGAGCTTCTTTTGCTCAAGGCTAACACTCTACCACTTGAATCATAGTGCCACTCCTTGCTTTTTTTGTTAACATGGTACTGAGGAATTGAACCCAGAGCTTCATGCATGCTAGTCAAGCACTCTACCACTAAGCCACATTCCCATCCCCAACCCTCAGCCTTTCTTCATCCAGGAAGAGCCCTTCCCTGGGGAAGTAAATGAGAGGTGACAGCTCCCTACTCCCTGACTCTTACCGATAATAAGCTCCGCCCATCTTCATCCAGGGGAGGCACAACTTTGCTAAAATCTTGCCGGGCCCACTTGGGGAAACTGGGCTTATAATCAGGCATAGAAGTAACTCCTGGCCAAACCACCTCATCTGGGGTCCCCAGAGTCCGAAAGATCCGGAAGAGTTGGTCAATCTCAGAATCTCCAGGGAATAGGGCACGGCGAGTCACCTGAAAATGGGGAAAGGCCAAAGACCCACATTGACGTCAGTCAAAAAACTGTCCCCTTCAATGAAGGAGGTTCCCACAGGCAGTGGAAAGGTCAGCAGGGCCCCATGACTCCCTCCCCAGGGCCTTTCATGGGGTCAGTCACACAGAGCCCGAGACAATAAAGTCCCTTCATCTGTCTCCTCGCCCCCTCCTTCCTTCCCCCAATCATGGCTTTGTAGATCCCCAAGGCTGGGTGGGGATGGGAGGGGGTGAATGTCTGGGGTGCCACTGACACGTAGCAAAGGGATCCCAAGCCACTCACGGGGTATGGGGTAGACACTGCGGTCATCCCCCCTCCTTGTGATGCAGCCACTTCTAGATAGGAGCACAGCGGGCAGAGACTGTGTCTTCCATTTCTTCTGTGTTCCCCACAGCACTTAGCATGGTGCTGGGTACACACTAGGTGCTTAAATATTTTTTGATGAATTGAGAGAGGAATATGGGCAATTGTAAGGTAATGCACTGGCGGATAAATGCACGTTATATATGTACAGCTATATATAAGCTAATGGTTTCTAAGCCCCCAGTGATAACCCAGATAAAGGACCATAAAGTATATTGCTGATCAGCCCAGGCCACTGTTGTATTACAGGAGATGGGAGCTCCCCACAGAAAGCCAGGCACTCCAAGGAGCCTTCACTCTGAAAAGCCAGAAGTAGGAGG